ACATGAGAAATTGTTCTGGTGGAGAAGGAAGATGTAGGAACTGCTATTTTTATTTTAGCCACTCTGCGTTTTCTAGTTATTGCTAAACTGCGCATGTTCTGCTCCACCAGCTTGGTTTTCCTCTTTAAAGGACTTTGAAAACTAGTAGAGATTTGGGAAAATTACATGAAGACAAGGACATGACTCATTGTATATCTCCTCAAAAGTAAAATAGTCCCTATTTCCTCTCTTACTCTTCCAGTAGCCAAGGGGTAACCTCAGAGCTTCGGCCACTGTCCCTCAGACATTGACCTAACAATGCTCTTAAAATATTCCATCACCTCCAGCAGAAGTCAATGTGCTGCCTTTTGCACTTGTGTGGTCTAAAAATATTTTCCACCTATTTACACAAATCAGTATTTACACAATCTCAGCTCTGTGTGCCATTTTTAATAATGCAAAACTGTCAGAAGCACAAGACAGGATGATGCAATATGAAACACTAGATTTAAATTCCCAGAAACAGGAATGCTGACAACACAGGTCAAACTTCCAATAGCTTAATGTGTGTCTTGATATTTCACGAGCTTCTAAGGAGGGAAGAAGTGGGTTGTACAACTTGGATGCAGGCTGATTCAGTGATGTTCTGTCAGGATAAATTTTAGAAATAAAATGGAATGGCACAAAAGCAAAAAACCCAAGACTATGACATTTCTAATTGCTTGAGTATTGAGACCAAACTTCTATTATTCTATGTATCAGTTTTGTGCAATTCAATAAATGGAAGAGTAGCTATTGTCTGTTATATTTAGTTAAAATACACTATTTGTTCCACGATTTTCAAGARTTGCCATAGCTCAGGAGCACAGTACCATCCACATGTCACCACATATCACAGACAGGACCACTACAAGTGACTCTTACAAAAGCTTCCCAATGTATCCCTTTATGAGACTGTGCTTTACTGTAGTTGCAGCTTCCCAGTTTTGGGGTTTGAACAGAATTTCCTAAATCGAGTGTCATTTGTGTGTCACTTTGGGGTAAGATTAATTCAGAACAGCTCAACCAGGCCATAGGTAAGGCAAAAGAAAAGCATGGACTTCAGTGTAATAMAGTTGCCTAAAGGAGAAAAAGTCAAGGTTGAAAGGGCAGCATTAAATTTAAATTTTTAGCCAAGAAAAACAAAAATTGATGTCATTATTACAATTGTAGAGTCAAGTAGTCAGGCTGGGAAACACTAGAGGCAAATACCTACCAAAATAAAGTAGAGGCAGAAGATTGTGAGTACTTTTTATATAAGGCTGTCACAGCAGTGATGGTTGGTAAAAGTAGCGTGGCTTTGGAAACAGAGTTTCAAAATCTCCCACTGAAAACACTAAGATACAGACTTCAAAGAAACATAGGTAAATAAAACTGGGGATATTCTCCACCAAACAAGTCTAGAAATTTCAGGCTWGTCAGCAACATTATACTAAATTTATACTGGCAAAAGTCAAAGCAGAAATAAAGCAACCACCCACGTACAGAAAACAAAATACACATACAAGTTTTTATTTATTTTATTTAGAATTAAAACAAAACATGATGTTTCCATCTAGAAGCYACTGGCATRTGYTGCAGTAAATTCAAACATGGAGAGKTGGGTTTAGCTTTCAGATTCCCCYCAGAYTTCACTTCTTCATTTTGCACCGGAGCTTTGTGCAAGCTCTGACACACCTGAGGACGCATCTGTTTAAGGCAGCCGCTGGAGTTCAAGCTTATCAGCAGACGGTGCTTCAAAGACATCATCCTCAACGCTCTCTTCTATCGGCTTCATCTTTGCCGAAGTTCTCAGATAAGGAGATGTCCGGCCTGGGCCTGTCACAGTTACAAAGAAAACACCAGTTAATCTAAGAACAACAATAGACCTGATACATACGCATGTTTGTCACAAAGTGGACACAAAGTATACACAGTCTGAAAATCCTGCCCTAGTTTCTTCSTGCGAGGATTTTCCAAGTGAAGGTTTCTTTGTTACCTGGCCGCGGGCACCAGGAAATTCTAGACATGGGACACCCACTCTGCTGTGAACCAGCAATGCCTGTTGCTAACCACAGACACCTCATTCTCCCCGAGTTCAGTGCAAACCCYGACTGYACAAGGTGCCCCCTGCTTGTTCCCKGGGGATCATTTTCTCACCCTTACACTCACCCACTGACTCATCTCTGTTCAATCACAGCAGCATGAATGGCTGCCCCAGCTACAAAAGGTGTGTACATCTGCACACTTGCCTGGCTGTGGGGAAAGTTCCTCAGTGCACTTGGAAAATCTTGCATGGGCATATGATCAAAGCCACAATTGCCTTTAAAGCATGAAATCATAGAATATGATGAGTTGGAAGGGACTCATCAGGATCAAGCCCAGCTCCAGGCCCTGCACAGGACACCCCAAAGGTCACACCACATGCCTAAGAGCATTGTCCAAACACTTGAACTCAGATACAAGACTCAAACTCTGTCAGGCTTGGTGTTGGGGCCACTTCCCTGGGCAGCCTGTTCCACTACACAACCAACCTCTGGGTGAAGAGCCTTATCCAAATATCCAGCCTAAACCTCCCCGACACAACTTCATAAGTTTTACCCAGCATGACAATGCAAAACTTATACAAGATGTATATCCCCATAAACAACCACAGAAAAAACCAATACTAACAGGCAAAGGCCACATAACTTTTGACTGACAGTGATTTCACAGCCACAAAACTACCTTTAAAAGCAGCAACTTGTCTGCCAAAGCAGAGCTAACAGAGCTAACACCACAGCTTTTGCTGGCAAGACATTAAATGGAGTTTCTGTGCAAATTACCACAGCAAACTATCTCTATTGCAGTTAAATTTTCAGCATGGTCAAAACAGAGAACWCCTTTGACATCAGCTGAACAGTTCTATTTTCCATCATTCACCCTGAAATTGAATCTACATGTGGACATCTTTTTCTCTCAAGTACCCTATTCTAGATTTAGACCACCACAACAGTATGAGGTTGTAAACAGCCAGTAGGTGATGGCCAAAAAGACCAAAGATGGAAATCTCTGAAACACCATTTGAGAAGAAAACAGCAAGAGATAAAGGTTTTGCTAACAATTTTTTTGCATACAAGCTAAAAATTCAAATATTCTTGAAAAAAAAATACTGATAACCATAACATGCTCTTAATTTTTGAGAATTTTATCAKATATACAGTAAAGTGCTGTGTTAAAGAAGCCCACTTATGAGGAAGGACTTGTTTGCTCCATATGTATTATACACAGAAAACAAAACACAATTGCAGGCAACACCAGCAARTTATTGTATTACTGCATTTTTAAGATGCTTTCACAAAGACACCTTTTGGAATWGGCATTTTAGAACTTCTTATGTTAAAAATTATTATTTTCTTTTAACATTCAAAAACTGCTTAAACTGCCATGATAAAGGGTTACTCAAACACAGTTTCAGATACTGGAATTGTTAAAAATTTCTTTGCACATGGATGTGTTTTATGGCCTAAGCAAAGGATAAYAAGATCAATTAATTGGCTAATGTAAACCATCCAAAGTCTGTGGGTACATCTGGATATAAAATTGACTTTGCTGGGAGGCACTGAAAGGTGGAAGAGTGCTTGAAAATGCTGACTTACAGTTCCAGCTTATTTTTTTTAAATTTTTGTTTTAGTGTAGTTTGTTACTATTTTTAAATGGTTTTCTTCTGTTTAAAAGTACTTAATTCTCTCCAGAAAACAGAAGTAAGCAGCCATAAGTTTGYACAACAGGATCCAATAGAAGGTCTAATTCTTTCAGCCTGTTTGTTTCAAAGACATGCTCTCATTTGCTCCAAATACAAAATTTTGTCTACTGATGCCATTACCCAGTGTTGGACAGATGTTCAAGTGACTGAGTCAGACCTTCTTTTCACTACTTTTTGTTGCCCTTTCTTGAGGGCCTGRACCAAAATACATATTAAAATTCCTGTGAAACCCAATCCTGCTTTGGAAACCACAAGCTGGGAGCATATAATTTGATAATACCACTAAAAGCATTAGCAAACTAAAACCTTTCTACATTGCTGCTTAGCTTAGAAGTTAACAAATAGACCAGCAAATCTGAGATATCTAAGTCAAGTATCACAGAAAAAGAGATTGTATCTCTAATAAATATGTGAATGGCTGTCAAGCAATGGAATTACAGAATACAAACTAATACCAAAATATAATTTAAAGGACTGACAGTACCAAAATATAATTTAAAGGACTGAAAGTCAGGTGAAACTACACTTGTGATCAGGTTGAAACCATTTTTGCTTCACTGAAATTCTGGAAGAAGAGATACACCTATTTCACTTACTAATGGATTACAGACAGACGGACCATGGATGTCAAGCACAAGTGTCACACGATAAACAAACCCCACTTTAATACCTTTTTGAGGATGCCTGCTGAGTTAATGTGATGTTATCAACAGAAAACATCATGCTGCAAACGACTCACTCCGTAAGCATTATAGAACTCTTGTTGGTTATTTCCTTAATATAAAAGCAAACAGTTAGTTGGGTTTCTTAGTTAATTTCAAAACACACTTTTGTTAGTAATTGTAGTTTGGGACCCACTAATTAGTAATTTTAACCCTTTTATTACTAAACACTTAAAAATACTTAATATTATTTCCTTGAGAAAATGAGTCAAAGCTTATAATTTATAGCACTRAAAAAAGCATAATTTCAAAAGCTGTGACTATACAAAAATATAAATGCTCATTTTTTAAAAAATATGGAAATTAGGAGAAGAAAACTTATTTATATTGTAGTCAAAGGTTATATTTGTACTGGGAGGCTTCTTCCCACACAGCAATTGCCTAGCAATGACAAAACAGTACTCCTGTAGAGTTCCTGTACAGGTAAATTACTTAAATTTCTTTTTTTATTCTAATTTTATAAAAAAAAGTTTGTTATTTCCATATGTTTTTCCCAAAAATCTTCACAGGATTTTGGATTGTGTTTGTTTTTTCTAAATAAACAAATGTATGCCTGTAGAAGGAGGCTCCAGGGAACAGCACCGGATCTTTAAACCTCACCACGCGCTTCATACTAAATCTTAAAAAAAAAATCCCAGATAAAAATACCCTGACTGCTGCACTGAGAGCACCCAGGAGAAGTTTTTTGAAAACACAGCAGTGGTAACATGAATGACAGATTTTTTGTTCTGTTTTTCCTGTGATCAGAAAAGAAGTGCATACATGGCCACAATCCACATTGAATACAAATCTTTAAGCAGAGCTCACCTTGGTAGTGACGCCATCATTGGCAATGACAGCACGCAGGAATAACTAACAAGCAATCTTGGCAAAAACAAGGATTGAAGCAATGCAGTTCGAGCAGATAAATAAACCTTTTACAGGAGTCAGAARTGTCACAATCAAAATGCAAAGAGAAATAAATAACTATTTCCTGAGGCTTATGTTGCACTTGTGTAGTGACAATCCCTCTGCCTCCCCAAAAGCAAGGGAAAGYACTTGGGAGGCTGCTGCCTCAGCTGGGCTGAGGAATTTCAGAACATAAAAGACACATAAACCTCTCTCTTTCAGGGAAAGCACACCCTGTGTACAAAAACAAAAAGAAGTTCATAAACCAAGGAAAAGTACAACAGAGAAAAGTGTATTTATCAAGTATGTGCTAAGCATAAATGCATCTTGGGGATTTACATAATTACAGCTGAACTTGTCATGCATTTCAATTATTTTCTTCCAAAGCTGAAATACTGGTGTAAGAATTTTGCTGTTAAGCCTGAAAGAGATATTTTAATTCTAACTAATGGCACAAACACAGTTTGACAATTTCTTTCCAAGTGTACAAATTCACCCCAAGGCTCTCTATGCAAAGGAGCAGCCTCAGTTCCACGGAGCTTTGCTGTGTGTGGAACAGGTGAAAAGCCACTCGGGGGTTAAAGGCAAAGATCAGAGAACAGACCAACACAGGAGACTTCGTGGCAGGAATCTGATCCAGGGTGCCTGATCAAGAAGGGCAAGCAGAAGGAAACCTTCTTTCAACAACTGGATCACAGGCCTTGGTATTTGTGGGGAATTTTAACCACCCCAGGATCTGGTGGAAAGGCAATAGGGTTGGAAGCAGGTAGTCCAGGAGATTTCTGGAACGCAGCAGACAATTTCTTCGCACAAGYGATCGGTGAGGCAGCTAGGGAAGGCGTTCTGCTGGACCTGTCACTGATGAACAAGGAAGAACTCATCAGGGAGATGAAGGCTGATGGTAATGTGGGCTGCAGTGTCCAGGAACTGATGGAGTTCAAGATGCTGAGAGGGGTGCAAGACAAAGAGTAGAATTACACCCCTACCAGACAGGGGACTGTGCCTGCAGGAACCCATGGGACATGGCCTGCTAAGGGACCCAARCACAGATGGTTGCTCTTCAAGGACACGTTCCTCAAAACTCAAGGACAGTCCATTCCTGTGTACAGAAAATTGAGCAAGCATGGCAGAAGGCTGGCACAGAAGAGCAGGAAAGGTCTGACAGAGTCCACACAYAGACATGGAGTGAAAGCAGGGATGAGCTCCGTGGGGGCAATACAGAACCATGGTCCAAGCATGCAGTGATGGAATGAGGGAAGGCAAAGCTCAGCTCAAACTGGATCTAGTGAAGGGCAACAAGAAAGGCCTCCACAAATAAATCAGCAACAAAAGAGAGACCAGGGAAACTGCGAGGCCACAGCTCAGTGATGCACAGGACCCAGGGACATGAAAAAGCCTGAAAAAAGTCAATGCCTTTTTTGTTTTGGGGTTTTGTGTTTTTTTTTATTTACAGGTTTGCTCTGAGGCCTACTAGGCCTCTGCATCTAGCGGTAGAGACTGTGATGCCTGACTGACAGGAAAGCTGGGCTGACTTAGGGAACATGTACATCAACAGGGCAAACACAAGACCCTGGAACCACATGGGCTGCATCCAAGGTGCCAAGTGTTGGCTGACACARTTGCAAGGCCCCTCTCCATCATTTTGGGGAGGTGACTGCAGTCAGGGGAGACAAAAGGCCAACATCACAGCCATCTTAGTGAAGGGCAAGGAGGAGCACCCACAGAACTACGAGCTTGTCAGTCTAAACTCAGTTCCCAGGAAGATTATGGAGCTTGTCTTCCTGGAAGCAATGTCCAAGCACACGAGGGATGGGAAGGTGACTGGGAAAGCCATCATGGATGCTGATTGATCCTACCACTCTGACCACCTTCCACCTTTGGTGGTGAGACAACGAGCTCTGCGGATGAATGGAGTGCAGYGGGTGTTGTTCACCTGGATGGTAGCACAGCCCTCCACAGTCTGCCACAGAATCCTTCCAGACAACTGGGTAAGAAACAGACTGGATATGTGGACCGCAGCTTGGGTGAAAATTTTTTTGTACTGCCAAGTTCACAGGGTGGTGAGCAGCAGAACAAAGTCCAGCTGTCAGGTATTTAATTAGCAACAAAGTCCCTTGAGAGTCTATGCCAAGGCTTATAATAGTCAAGTTATAAATGATCTGGATGATGGGATGGAATGCACTCTTGCCAASTTCACATATAAGAGCCAGGTAGTGAGGGAAACTGCTGACAGGTCAGAGGGTAGGGTAGTGAGCCTGGAYAGGCCATTGGAAACAAGAGAGAAGAACAGACAGAAACTGTGAGTTCAAGAAAGGCAAACCCCTGCACTTGGGACAGGACACACTGACACAGCATTGCAGCCTAGCCCCAGCTGGTTGGAAAGCAGCTTTGCAGAAACAGACCTGGGAGTCCTGCTGGACATGAAATCGAACACGAGTCAGCAGAGTGCCCCCGCAGTGAAGAGTGCCATCCATACACTGTGCCACATCAGCAGCATAAATCGAGCCATAGAAGCAAGAGCATGGTCAGCAGGTCAATGGAAGAGATAAATCCCCTCTATCTGGTATTGGTGAGACAGGATCTGGAGAGCTGTGCCCAGTTTTGTGCCTCCCTGTACAGGASAGACATGGACATACTGGAGCAAGAGCAAGTGGAGTGCAACCAGGATGGCCAGAGGCTGGAGCAGTGACAGAGAGGCTGTGAGAGCTGGATGTGCTCAGCCCGAGGAACAGCTCCCAGGGGATCTGACTCCTGCCTTTGCCTGCCTAATGGAAGGGCACATAGAAGACAGAGCCAGACTCTTCACAGACAGAGGCATGAACCAAAGGACAAAGGACAAACTTGGAAATATTCAAAGCTTGACTAGACATGGCCCTCTTCTAGCTGACCTTGATTTGGACATAAGATTGGACCTGATGCTCTCCAGAAGTCCCTTTCTACCTCAACTGTACTGTGATTCCAGACTGTCCTGTCTGCAGGGAAGAGAGGAGAAAGAGACAACAATACTGGAATTGTCATCAAACTATAGTGTCACCCTTGATATTCTTATGGGGTGAAGCACTAGCAGGGCTTTTGCCTCCATCTCTATCTGGGTATGCAGACTATACCAATGTCAAGGACTAAAACCAGATAGACCCTCCAAGTCTGAAGGTGTTCCTGGATGACAACTGTGAGGAACAATGGAAAACAGATAATTAAACAGAAAAAYGCAAATATTTGTAAACATTTCCTCTTCTTAGCAGAGACTTTAACCATAACAAGTAACCGGCAGTGATTTTTTTCCTCATATTTTTGAATTCTAATCACTAAAAAATATATCCCCAATCAAAATAAATAATCCTATATGATCTTTTTAAATGCCAGTAAACTAACAGCTTGTGCCAAATGCAAAAATTGAGCATTCTTGGGAGTTTTTTTGTTCAAATGCTACTTTCAGAATTCAGCCTAATGTTGAAGATTATGTTCAGATGAACTAAAAACAAACAACAGCAAAAGCCTAGAAAGAAAAATTTAGAATATTTCCAAAAAGGAATAAATTACTAGAATAGAAGCAAAAAGGTCAGGCCTGGTTTATTCTCCCACTTCATCTGTTCTCTACTACTCCTGTCATAAAAAGCACAGGAGAGGAGAGTTTGACAGGATACTTGGAGATTATCCAAAAATATTTGTTGTATACCACATTTCTGCAGACCCTGGCAATACAAACTATCTCAGGAGGAAAAGCGGAACACCAAGTTGCTCGCAYTGTACATTCAGTTTTGCCCTATTACTATAAACATTGCATATCATGTTTAAACATAAACATTATGCCWAAGATTATTATCACACATGCTAGGGGCTTTTTCCCCATGAAGATACATGAGGTACCTTCATTTAGCACACAAAACCTCATGAATCTAATGCCTGCCCTATAGTTAGGTCCCTTCATTCAGCTGATGCACAGCAGCACCAAAAAAAGCTACAATCTGCTCCCACAGAGGGCAACAGAAGTTGTACAGTTGTCTCTAATGGTCAACCCATTTCAAAGCTGGCACAAACTATTCTAAGCACTCACGAAGAGAGGATGCAGAGGAAGTCCCACGAAGAAACATCTGCAAGCCATCCTCGCTGTCACTGGTACTGGCCATACTGTTCCTCATCTGCATCACAGAGAGCTGAGAGCAAAGGCTGGGCTGACGATCAATCTTCTTTGAAGCCTGAAAAAGAAAACAATTATTATTTTAAAAAAATATATCAAGCAAATTAAAAGAAAAATGGAAAATCATTGTTTCCTTTGTAGTAGATGCTCTGGTCTCAGCTACAGTTATGCAAGAAAATTGTTATAGGAGAAGATTCCAGGCAGTGTAAATCAATTTAAATGACAATAGAAAATGCCAGTAATACACTGGAATKAGAACATTGACAAGTATGAAACTGCACATTAATTATTCAATTTCAAATGCTTTTGCACTGAAATTTTCATRTATTTTCTTACAGAAAGCTTAGGGKTTATTATCTGGTAATTCATTATTTAAGTATGATGCTCTGCAATTAAGTGTAGTCTCCATGATGAGCCTGGCCCTCCTTGCTAAACAGAACAGCATGCTATATATAGAGGCAATTTATAACCTCACAGAAACGTGTTCATTTTCCTGGCCTTTCATTTCATCATGCTGAAAACTGGTGAATGTCATTCCTTCCCAGTAGATGGCCATTTGGCTCTTGATTCTACTGCAGACCAAATGCATCAAATGAACATTATCCTCTGCCTGTCAAATSGTCTGAGGAGCTTCCATTTTGCTTTGAGTAGCCTTCCTGAGAAGCCTTTGTACTACAACATTTATATGAAGCTATGCATTGTACCTCGTTAGGTATTACTGCAAGTCAGAATGCTATTTTAGGTAGATGTGAAAGGCAGCAATCAATGACAAGTCTATAATGGATAACTCCACTTTATTGAATTTTAARTCAGGAACTAGTATCCTATTTCATGCAGTAAGGAATGACTATTTCCCCCACGCTACTGAAAATCTCCTTAGGTAGGAGAAAATCACAAGCTTCCCAACGAAATTAATTAATACTTACCTGTTTTTCAACAACAAAAAAAGATTTGATAGTTTTACCTGCTTACTACCATCTTGAATATGAATAATCAATACTCAATTTATTTCAGTGGTCCCCTAAGTACAGAAATCAACCACAACGTTTTCTGGTGAGATTGATACCAGTTRAAGGCATTAAAGACACCAATAATATTTATATTTGACAGTGAAGCTTGTGAGAGGTGACATGTACATAGAGTGCTGGCAATGGGAAAATTAAGAACTTATTTGACAGTTCTAATCCTGAGTTATGTAGCAAGAGCTCGTGCAACAGGATTTTTATTTTAGGAAGAATAAAAAGATACTACAAATTTCCCAAATGCTCACTCAATTTTTACAACATACATTTTCAAAACTTACTATAATAAACCAAMTACAATAATGTTAAATTTATGTGACTACTGCAACTAAAATTAAGWCTCAGTACAAACTGAAGTTAAAGTGTGCAGATTTTGAGTCAAAGGAGGGGTAAAATTTGTTGGAATTTTTAATATTTAGAAGGTGTGATAAGGACTAAGKAAGGAGACAAAATGAAACTAAACCAAGATAGTTAATACATTCATAACTACAGCCAGACCATTTACCAGGACACCTAAAACACACTCCCTCTACAGGCAAAGAAATGTGTTATATTCAGACTGCTTGATGTTTTATACTTATTTATATTTCATATGCATTTCATGATTACTTCCACTAACTGCATCATATCAACATAATGTTTGCTCTCTTTTTTTTTCATTTGCAACTCTCAAAGACATGTTGAAATTATTCTTCTGAGAAATCAGTATTACATAATCATTTGCCCGCAGAAAGAAATTTTTTTAAGAAAAAACTCTGAAGCTTCTTTGTACAAAGGTATTCATTTGTTTGTGAGAAGGGACATCCAGGGAGAAGCATCTTTTTAGCTACTTGCCATCATGTTTAACAGCTAGAAATATTTCCACAAGCTGATCTGTTCTGAATCTCAGTTACTCATCTTTCTTGTACATTGCTGTGCTAACTTCAACCAATATTGCTTCTGACAGAARTGCTGCACTGACTCACACCTTGGCACTAAAAGGCCACGAGTGTGCACTCAGCAGMTGATGGCAGCAGGTTAAAATAAGGTGCTTTAAGCGCATTTAAAATTGAAGTGAAAACACATTTGTGTGTGGGAGGAAAATGCCCAAACAAAACTTAGTTGCTTACCTTGTCATTTAAAGTTGGGTCATTCAATGAATAAAGTTTATTTGTAATATCTTTGCCAATAAGGTATTTAAAGATCTCATAAAGAAATGGCTCAGACTCCAGAAAGTAAGTCAGCCTTTCCCTGGACCAGCACAGGAACTTGCAGTTATCATCTGCAATAATGGTGACCTGAAAAAAAAAAAAGCATGCTCAGAATTAGCATATMTAAGAATATTTTAAGATGATCACTTAAAGTCATCACTTAAAGATGAGCACTTAAACATGCTTTAAAAATAAATGATACTATTTTATTTATGCCTTCAGTTAAAATAACTCTTAAGGCCATAAGGTTTTTTGGTATCCCTTAGAATGTGATATTTAACAAATTTAAAAATKCTTTGTTATTTATTATTGTTACATTTTCAACTAGTATGTGTAGCCAGTTTGTTTTTCAGAAAACTTGGGAGGGATAAWAACAGGGAAAAATATGTCATGAGTTCCAAGATTGTGAAAGCATTTACATAAGAAATTTATACATTATGTCAGTCCTATAATGGTGACAGTATTTGCAAAAGGCCTATATGTAGCTTGGTTTTATTTTACATCACTGTCACCAAACAGRAAAAACTGGTATCACTCAAAGGTCTCCATCAAAGAGTTTTTAGTGATTAAAAAAAATTTTTCCATCTTCTTCTCATAACTGTCAGCCCTGCTGATTGCACAAATACCACTTTGTACTGTTTGYTCAGTTATTGATAATCCAGGTATGGGTAATCACAGGGGAGCTTGCTCCCTCTCATGGAAGGCTRGACCTGCCAAGTTTGTCCCCCTACGCCAGCAGAGGGCAATGACACACCAAAACCTACACTGGCCAGACCCAGGGACATGTTTTGCAAGGGGAAACCAGGCGTCTGTGAATAAATCAGGCGCTCTCTGCTCTTACAAGATAATGTCACATCCTGAAAAAAACAATCAAACCCCATAAAGTCCAAGAAATAATGGAAAACTGTCATGTATCCATGTATTTTTAAGTCCACAGTCCACTTGTAATACAAGCCACAGRCTGAGGAAGAATTCGACAGCATTGCCAGCAGATGGGGTCCTTAAGACTGAATCTGCATGCTCTCGAAACAGCACGGCTGACAGTRTCAGTGTGGCAGTAACAAGCAGAACTCACGAGTAAAGGATGGACTCTTCTCCAGATTACAATAACTTCCAAGGCAGACAGAAGTCGAGGTCTGACCCCTTTCCCTTGACAGGGACTGATTTGTATSCAGCTGCTTCCAAGAGAAAGGGGCTGTGCCAAGAGGGCAGCCAGGCTGCGGGACACCTCAATGCGTGAAGTGAATGCATCTGGACAAGTCTCTCCCCCTGGCTCTAAGCCGAATGTTTGACTGGAACATATGACATCAATCACTGATTTTAGAGTCTACGCTGCTCTCCCACCCTACCCTTCTGCCCTGGTACCAGTGGGGATGTATCAGTCACAGTCCAGTCATTATTACACATACCTAGCTAAATAACATCAAGAGAGGTAGCAAAAAAGCCATTTCTATGGGAACAAAACCCCTTCTCGAACAGTATTCCATCCCCCAAAGTATAATAAAATATATTCAATATACTAGAATAATTACACTGCTAGAGCCATATACCCTTATTGTTCCCCATACGAATATTTTTATTCAAAACACTAGAAAACTTTCAGCTTATGATGCTTTAACAAATTGCAAAACGACARAAGTATTAATACACTTATTTAAATACCAATTTCTAATTACTAGCGCCTGAACTTCTAGACTTTTATTTTTACAATAATAATTTTTCCCTTTTTCTTTTTTTGAACCAGTGATGAGACCTGTTCATATAATCTTTTTCCATCAAAACTGCTTCTTAAATTATTTGTCCCGAACAAGCCCTTAATACAAAACAAACGTGGAAACAGTATAAAAGAGAACAGAATAGCAAAAGGCAGACTGTTCAGGAAACACCACYGTAGTACTGTTTTGCAGCATTTAATTTTAAAAGTTATTCTTGATATAGTCCATCTTTGAGCACCTATGCTAAAAGGTTAGCAAAATTATGGGAGTCAAACAGTTGATCACTGTTGATCAAATTTATACTCTATTTTTTAAATGGTCTCATCAGCTCCTATCCAATGACATTTAAAACAAAGTGTACCTGGAATTTCTCACCCCGGTTCATCTGCGTTGATCGAAATTCAGGAGAATCTATAAAGGCACAGGGGTAAATATTATGCAGAAAATGTCCTCGATAAGACACCTTCATTCTGGAAATAAAAATGTATGAAACAATATTTTAAAATCACGGAGGCTGAATTTTTTAGTCCAAACATGGGTAGGACTATTGACAAAGGTAAAGCAGAAGGTAACAGGAAAAAATATGTTCACTTCCCAGAGCTACCCGGTTTTTGTCTTAAATTCCCACTGATTTCAAGCAGAACAGGCTGCCAGACAAACAGAGAATTGAACAAGGTATCCACAAAACATTATTATTCAATATGAGAAAGGTTATTTTRTACAGCCAGACCAAAATCAGGCTTYCCTTAGGTARGTAGCTTTGTGGTAAGGAGGAAGCAAAACAACGAAGCCTGACATCTTTGCTGTCAACAGAAACTGGTTAAAATATTGGCCAGAATTCAGTATGAGTTTCAAGATTGTGGCTTGGCCATAGGTTTATATTTTACCCTTTCTCACCCGGGTTCTGTTTTTCTCTGGGCAGTGCACCTGCCCCTTTCCACTTTCATGTACAGGCGCAATGAATCAATTCCAAAGGCCTGCTGTTTTAAAGCCTTCTGGAGGGATGCTTTTCCTTTCCTCATGCACAATATTTTTTGACCTTAAAACTTGAGAATGGACTGAGTAGATGATTTAGATATCTAAGTTTCAAACAAATCTCTTGCTTGTTTTGGAAGACACTGTCTTTGGAAGACACTTATATTAGACAAATATAATTCCTAAAGTCCATGCAGCTGCACACCGAGGTGGATACACAGTACGGTACCAATAAGAGATATCACMATCTTCTGAAAATGGTGTCACAAAATGGTCTAAAAGTATAGACTATTTACTGTAGTCCATAACACACCACAAACAATAACATTGTAAAAGCTAAAAAAAACCTCAATAATTTTCTAACTTATTCAACCATTACACAAAGCATAAGACTGTCCCCAAGCTTTTACAGAACCTACTTCCCCTTCAGCAGGATGCTTAGCCTATCATCAACTGATGTTTTATCTTCTGCTGCATAGGCTTGACCTGTCTTTAAAGTCTGAATGTTGCAGAATTGTCCAGTTAGTCTTTGGAAGAGCTCTGGAGGCACATGGAGAGGTTCAAACATTCTCTTGTAGAGGCTGCTAAGCTCCTTCTCTATCTTGATCTAGATTGGAGAAACAAGAGACACGAATAAACACAGAATAATTAGTTAAAAACGGGTAAGACTGCTCACAGGCTTGAGCTTRAGGAACATCTTTGGCTTCATTATGCTTAAGCAAGGAAAGAAGTGGTAAATGTGTGATGTCTATCCACAAGCACTGCCTATGACAGGGTGACCAAAACCTTATCTAAAATTAGCCAGGCTGGCACATTGGTGCTTTAGAATGCTTYTCCATCCAAGTGGCACATTAAATCACACACAAGGAGCCTTCTGAGTCTTCTGTTGATGTAGCAGTGAATAGGACTTGGGCAAGAATTAAACRGAGAAAAAAATGAGGTTGTCTTTCACACCGCATGCACGCGTCACTCTGGCTATTGCCTCAGGCTCTCCTGGGAGCTCCTCTCATCCCTGAGCTTCTTGGCTTACTTGCAGTAGAAAAACAAACCAATTATATTCAAACCACATGTGATGAGGGAGGAAAAAAAAAAACCAAATCCCAAAAACATCGCCAGCTGAACATTCCACATCTAAGAGCCCACCCAAACTCAGGCAGCAGCAATGAGGGAAAGGATGTTGGCTGAAATCCCAAGCCTGGAAGTCTTTCCTGAATGTAGGCAGCAGGGGACGAGACAATATTACAGCCTTCCTRAAAGCAGAAGCAGCCTGAATAAAGCCTGCATATTTTCTGTGAGGGAAACAAATTAGAACAATAAGCAGCAGATAATGAAAGAAGTAAAATATACATAGAACAGTGAATAAGGAAAAGCAACCAAGAAAAAATAGCAGAGAAGAAAAGAAAGAGATAGTTTTCTGATTCATGTTCTGACCCTATCCTGCCTCCAGGGCCTGCAGGTCCTTTTCTACAAAGCTGCTTTCCAGCTGGTCAGCCCATGGCATGTACTGATCCATGTGGTTATYCCTCTTCTGGTGCAGGACTCTAATTTTTGTTGAACTCCATGAGGTTCCTRTTGGCTCATTTCTYCAGCCTGCTGAGGCTCCTCCAGATGGATTCCCAACTTCCGGGCCATCAGCCACTCCTCACAGTTTTGTCTCATCAGGGTACGCATCTGCCCCACCATCCAGATCATGAATGAAGATGTCAAACAGTGCTGGGACTAGCACTGGCCCTGAGGTTACACATCTCCAACTAAACTTCTTACCTCTCATTACCACACTCAGCCCAGCCCTTCCGCCAGATTTCAATCCAACTCACTGTGTCCTCATCCAGGCCACACTTCAACAGATTCTCTATCAGGATTTTACAGAAGATAGTGTTGAAAACCCTACTGAAATTAAGGCAGAGGGCACTCGCCATCCTCAGCTTTTTGGTCAGTCACTTCATCACAGGTTATTCTAGAACGGGTTAGAAGGGACCTTAAGGATCATCTAGTTCCAATCCCTCTGCCATGGGCAGGGACATCTTCCACTAGACCAGGTGGCTCAGAGCTCCATCCAGCCTGACCTTGAACACTTCTGGCATCTAGAGCTTCTCCGGGCAACCTGTTCCAGTGCTTCAGCACCCTTAGAGCAAAGACTTTGTTCCTAATATCTAATCTAAACCTCCTCTCAGTTTGAAGCCATTCCCCTAGTCCTGTCACTATAAGCTCTTGTAAAATGTTCATCCCCATCCTTCTAGGAGGCTCCATTCAAGTACTGGAAGGCTGCAATCTGGCCACCTCAGAGCCTTCTCTTTTCCAGGCTGACCACCTCCAATTCTCCCAGCCTTTCCTCACAGAAGAAGTGGCCTATCTCTGTGCTCGGGATCCCAGAGCACTCCAGGTAGGGTCTCATCAGAGCAATCACCTCCCTTACCCTGCTGGCCACACAGCTTTTGATGCAGCCCAGGATATGATGGGATTTCTGTGGCTGTGAGTGTGCACTGCCAGGTCAAGTCCAGCCTCTCCAAGTCCTTCTCATCAGGGCTGCTCTCAATCTGTCCATCTCTCAGCCTGTGTTGATACTGGGGGTTTCCCCAACCCAGGAGCCTCAGCAGGCTGGAGAAATGGGCCAACATTTGATCACATTACACTTCATGAGATTTCCATTGGCACACTTTTCCAGCTTGTTCCAATCCCTCTGGCTGGCATCCCATCCTTCAGGTGTGTCAAACAACACAGCTTGGTGTCACCTATAAACCTGTTGAGGGTGCACTCAATCCCTCTATGACATCAATGAAGAAAGTAAATAACACTGGTCCCAATACAAACCCAAAAGGGACAGCACTTGTCACTGATGTCCACCAGGATTCTGAACCACTGACCATTACCCTCTGGCTGTGACCATTCAGTCTCTTATCCATCTATTATCAAGTTGGTTAAGCATGACTTTCCTTTGGCAAATCCTTGCTGACCACTCATGTGCATAGAAATGTGCTTCATGTGCATAGAAATGGTTTCCAGGACTATCTATTCCTTCTTTTCAGAGACCAAGTTGAGGCTGCAGCTCCCTGGGTTCTCSTTCTTGCCCTTTTTGAGGAAAGAAGTGGCATTTGCTTTCCTCCATTCCTCACACACTTCTCTCAGTCACCACCATTATTCCAAGACTATCAAGAATGGCCTTGCAGGGACATCAGATCTTGTGGTTGTGTGCCATCAGGGCTCATGGACTTATTATGGCCAGTGCATCACCCGTTACCCTGGTTTCACACTGAATCAATTACTAGTTAAAGATTCAACCAGCAACTCTATTTATATGAAATTCAGGTATTGAAYTTCTTGTATATTCTTTATGCCAAAATCTTTAATACCTCAGAGGGCATCAACACAACAAAACAAGCATTAAAAACAAACCCACAACAGAAATTGTATTGTGTTGTGTTAAGGACTGTTCTGAGATGTTTGATTTCAAAATATGTTCCATATACCCACAAAGCCAGATGACTCTGTTTTGCCAACATGTTCTCCAGGACCACTTTTGTTTTTAACRGCTATACCAATTTAAGTTAAGAAAGAGGTGAAAATTAAAGAAATATATTTTCATCAGAAAAAGGAATTTAAATAGCTCGCAAGATTCCTGAATCCAAAACCATGCACAGAGTTTTGGCCCTGGAGTGTTAATGCAGTCCCTTAACTGGCACATGGTTCATGTTTCATGGTTTTCCTCTGGAGTGTAATCCTTTGAGGGGAAAGCAGGTGTAGCCACTTTCTTAAAGACCGATCAGATTGCAGACTGTGGCTGTGCTTTTGATGGGCTCCCTTRTAACAGGCTATTCACCCTCCCCATGCACAGCTGACTGCTCCTCCAGTCATGCTTGTGGGTCATAYTCCAAACAAGCCATATGGGTAGGTGTAATGTCTTGTTCAGCAGGGGTTGAAATATTCTGGGATGCTGCCAGAACTCCGAGTCAGGCACTGATTAGACTCAGCTTCCACTCAGACTAAAAAAGCCAACTTCAYAAAGCTCCAAGGAATCAAAACCACAGAAATAATCTTCTGGTCAGAAAAGAAACTCACTGTGATTTTGCAAGCTCCATTTAATAAAATAAATATTTAACAACTAAACWTATCAATTATTCATTTTGTAATATGACTAACTTGTAATTATTCTTCCATTCCTTTCTTTCCTTTGAAAGATCTTTTGTGAGAATGACCAGAACTGATTGAGATRGGCAACACAATAGCTGCAGAGAGAAAAATCCCATTCAAAAATGAGTTCCTAAGAATTTTAATTTTTCCCCTATTCTTTATCTTCCTATAGGAAGGACACTTTAAAAAGCCTTTGGGTTCATAAAAAACCTGTYAGACAGCTAAAAAGATGCATAACTACCAGGCATCATTTCAAGTAAGCTTGTTGATCATAGTTTGCAACAAAGATTCATCCATTTTTAATATTTATTGAAAGTTTTATGTATTACAGCAACTAAAATAGCATAATATTGTTCATGCAATGTTCATAAATACTGTAATTTCTTAATGGAAAGAAGACTACTGAAATTAAGTCTTAAAATATAAAGAAACAGCACTACCTAGCTAGTCTATCAGAACAAATTTTTGGCTAAGCTTTTAAGTTGCACAGGTCACATAGCCCTATTGAAGGTAACCTTTGGGTGAATCTGCGCTCTATACTGCAGGAACACTGCAGTATAGGTAGAGCCTCTTCCTTTTTTAACACGTGCACTCAATTTATCAACTTGTTGCAGACAGATGCAATTTAACCTTTAGCCTCTTTTTATATGCTGTGGTTGCCTGCCAGAGTGTGAATGGTGCAGAGTTTATGGGAGTGCCAAGCACCTAGGTTCTGGCAGTGGCCAAGGGCTACAGAAAGAGAAACCAAAGTTGAAGGCAGGTCCTCCAGGCCTTCCTCTATTWGAAGCAATTTTTTACCAACTTTGGTGAGTATATCAGTCAAGTTTCATCTTCTTACACAATTCCTTCTTTTTATATCCACCTACAGAGTACTTCAATCACTTTTACCACTTAACCTAACTCCTACAAGTAATTCTGCTAACAAGTTTACTAGAAGATTTAAGCAAAAAAAGCTGTCTCTTCAATAGGATGAAATCTATACCATAATGCACAAAATACCCCAACCCATGCCAACAYAGCTTTTAGTAGACAACTGTAATTACAGCAGAATATTTTTCTTTCTTCATTCAGTATTGATTTACATATTGCAAGGTGATTTTTTTGTTTTTTCATTT